TCCTCACTTCCCTCCTTCCTAGCTTAAGTTCCATGGTCAACCGTTATAATCACTTCCTGGCACACATTCTTTCCTTTGCCCTCTCTCACTTCCTCATATTCATCTCTCAAAACTCATCCTGGTTAAATCTTACTCTGCCTACACTCACACAGCTGAATGTGGCTACAGAAAATGACACTTTAAACTCACAACTGCTGACCTCAAGTGGACCCTCAATGCTACCCAGTAATCTTACTGTGTTTTCCTGGGTCCATTCCTTCCCTCACTTGCACAGATGACTATTTCATACTTTCTCTCTGCTCTCTCCAACACCCCGTCCCTCATCCTCACTCTCAGTTGATTACCTTGATTCCTATTCTCCTGAGAAAATGGAAGTAAGAGAAGAGAACCAGCATTTAGAACTGTGCTTGGAAAACTATGCACACAGTAGGCACTCAAAAAATATTTGGTGAATGAAAACCCTCCTAGATGTGTACTTGTCCAGCACCTAGAAATTGAGATAAAGCACATTTAGTGTTGTACAGTAGCAAAGAAACATCCCACGATCCTCACTGGGATGGAAGCCATGGAGGCAAACATTGTTTCTAGTGCGTTAGTAATTTAAGAATATTAACTGAAATCAAACATTGACTATTATTTACATAATGTTTCTATGAGTAGTAATATATTCAATGGTATTACAACTAAATGTTTGTGTTATGAAATCTATCTGCCTTTGTGTTTATGTAATGTCTTACATTTTAGTATCCAAATGTTGTTTTTTAGCTGGTACTTATTTTACATGAAGTGCAATCACTTTCATTCTTGCAAGTTTTTTCATGTGGAAATAAAGATTAGCTTAATCCACTCTTCATAGAAATCCTGTGTGATTAAACTGTATGGATGCCTACATAAGTGAAAGAGGAGTCCCTGAAACAGAGTCGACTTTCTTCTTTTTTCCCCGCACAAACCAGACCTTGATAAAGAACATGGTATATGGGATTTACATAAAATACTTTACTCAGTAAGCTGGAGTTCATGGGAGCTTGGCACAGAGGCTGGTGTGGAATAAGAGTTCAAAAATAAGAATTTGTGTAGCTATGGTTCTAGGTCATTCAGCAAGTATAAAATTAAGAGCTAACACTTAGAGGCAAGTATTTAATCAGTGTGATTAATTAAATGCAGGAAACTTGGCTATATATTAATTAAGGCAGTGTTGGCAAATATTTTAAAATTCATAAGTTTTACTCTATCAAGAAGAATAATATAATTGCAAGAAATAATACTAATTAGAACAGGGAGAAAAGCATTATAATTTCATTCTGCTTTTTCTTTGATGGTAATTGGTATTAGTGACTTTATAGAAAAGAAAGAACTAGCTACTTGTGACCTAAAAATCCGAATTCTTCACTTAGCAAGATACCGTATTTGCCTGAGGCCTTCTTCCTGTTTCTGGACTTCTGTCTGATGACTAAGGGTTGCTCTCATTACCAGATCTCCATGTCGTCAAGATAATAGAAGCATCTGCACGACAGCATGGCAAATCATTGGTGTGGTCGGTAGTTTGGTGGGTTCGTTGGTTTTCTTGCTATCTATTCCTAGGATCTCTTAAAAATTCTGATGTAGGATCATAATTCCTCTTTTTTTTTTTTTTTTTTGGTGAGGAAGATTGAGCTAACATCTGGTGCCAATCTTCCTCTTTTTGCTGCGGAAAATTGTCCCTGAGCTAACATCTGTGCCAGTCTTCCTCTATTTTGTATGTGGGACACTGCCACAGCATGGCTTGATGAGCGCTATGCAGGTCCGCACCCTGGATCTGAACCTGTGAACCCCAGCGCACCGAAGCAGAGCACGCGAACTTAACTACTATGCCACCAGGCCAGCCCGGATCATAATTCTTATTATTAGATTGTGGTGAACAGAGAACATAAGCTAAAGATTAACTTTATGGCACCTTGGAAATTTGTGACAAGCAGAGTTCAAGAATGACTGGAAATTGAAAACTCTCCATATACTATACTTTTAAAGTTATTTGAACCTAACAGGCGAGACAGCAGAATTTGTGGTTAGATTTGGGCAGTGTTGTGCTGGAAAATGTTTAACAGTTGGCTCTCTGGAAAGCAAATAAACAAACAAAAACTCTGATTTTTGCCTTTGCCTTTTTCCTTGGTGTAAATACTCGCACCATGGCCAGTTTCAAGCTACCAACATGATGCCATTGAATGCAAAGTTGGGTAGAGAGCCACAGCATCTGGCCAGTGGGAGCCAGCTCCAGTACATAACTGAAGCGGTGGGCAGGGAGGGACTGAGTTCTGTTCCTGACCCTTGTGACAAATAGAGGGCTCCTTCTTTTTAGGCAACTCTATAAAAGAAGAAAGGAAGACTAATACTACAGAAGTTATCAAACTTGCAAAGAGACTAGAACTTAATTTTTCCAACCACTAAAAAGAAAATATAACTACGTGACATCACAGTGGTGCCAATTATCGCTACAATGGCAATCATATGACAATATTACATAAATGTATGAAATTAAACGTGTACACGTTAAATTTACACAACATTATATGTCAAATAGATTTCAGTTTAAAAAAAGGAAAGAAATCCTGAGGAAGAGCAAAATGTTTTTTCTTCCTGGTTGATAGAGAAGCAGAAAGAAAACAGAGCCCCCAGAATCGGGCGAGTCTTCTGCAGAGAGGAGGAGAGATCCTGGTACTCTGCAGGCTGCCCTCCCAGAGGCCGTAGAGTCCCAACCCCTCCTGCAACGGCCCTCTGCAGTTTTGTAAACTTCTGGTGTTGACATGCTGGTCAGCTTGAACATTTTTTTTCACTTTAGATAAACAAAATACAATGCAAACTTTTTCTGAATGTATATATATCATATACACATATAATCTGCAATACAAGTGATACCTCTATTTTTTATTCACATTTCTGTCTCCTTAAAGACATTTTATACCCTTCTAAAGGTGTTTTACCATCTGCCGACCTAATCTACAGCTTATTTTTCCCCTGGTGTTTCTCCTGGCATTACTGATTGTGTTAAGGCCTATATGGAGCAGTTAACTTTCCATAAAAGACCAACACATCTGAAAATTGGGCCACTGACCCAAGTGCACTTGGAGCTTGCATGGGGTCTAATATAGAGTTAATAACAAAAAAGAAAAATTAAAGGATAACTTCCATTGAATTAAAACACCAAACAATAATTTTAAAGATATTACATTGAGCTGAAATTGAGTAAAAAGAAATTAATATAAAAACTTTGTTTACAAGTGAGATTTTCATTAGTTTAATAATTTTCAAACTTTCCTGTCTTTGCACTCAAAGTGTGATTTTAAAAACTCACTTATTTTTAAACTCTGTGTCAACTTTTCTTCCTCCCTTGTCTGTGCTCTATCTACCATGATTTCTAGACCATAATGTATGCATACGTTTATACCTCTGAAATAGATTTTCCTAAATTCTTAAGTCAATTAAATAATAAACTCTATGAGGGCAAGGAACATGCACCAAGGAAATGACCGTACTTCCTTTAGAAATCTGCTAACAGCCATTGCTTAGTGTTAATTTCTTTAGAAAAATACATGCTAATAGTAAATTTCTATGAATATATTTGCTTCAGATTTTTCAAGGAAAGCTGTGGCTTGCCCCAAAGCGTAACATTTAACAAGATTTTTCAAACCTGCCAAATTGCATTGCCTATTTAGCCAATTCAGCGTGCATAATATTAATTTACTGTGCCACGAAGGTAGTGCGTCTTAACTGTTACTAGGGGAAAGTGTATTATATTTGATTTCCCTTTATGAGTCTCACATTGCTTGTAATTCAGGAGGGCTACCACATTTTCTGGGCAGGCTATCAAATAGGATGTTGTAATGATTTGCTTGACTAGTAGAGTAGATGAAAAAATATCAGTTCTGTCTGTAGCTGTTCTATTTTTGAATTTCAAATTTGCACAGTTTGAAACCATTTATTCCTCTGTGGTTCTCTTTAAAATATAAAAGATTCTTTTATATTTTAAAGAGTTAAACATGTCACACAAAATCATTTAAGGTAATGGTTAGAACAGCATGAATTTCAGAGAACAAAAGAGAAGGCTTAGATTTAATTTGAAAATGCCAAGGAAGGGGGCTGTCACACAATGCAAACAGTTTTGGCTTGATAAAAGGAAAACATAGGTTTTACTTGTAACTGACATCTTGGGGATGCTTGAATGCCTCAATTCTCTGTCTGCACTGCTATCCCTTTGCAGTTCACGGAGATGTTGAGATATTCTCTGCTTCTTAAAATGTTACTAATCAAAATTGCCTTTGGAATAATCTGTTCTGCTTAGAGGATGAGTATGGACTCAGAACCTATCTATCAGTAGGTTTACTTCCTATTTTTAACATTAGCATGGATTCCTTGAATGACTGAGTTTTCCTTCTGTACACTAAATTCTTAAAACTTCATCTACATACCACTGAAAAGGAATCGCATCATTGCAGCAGGTTTATTCTTTTATATGATTTAGTTTCTTCTTTCAACAAATATTTATTGAGCAACTAGTAGGTGTCAGGCATGTTCTGGGTACTTAGTGCGTATCAAGACCTCTGCCCTGATGAAGCTTATATTCTACTGGGAGAAACAATCAGGAAAGCATAAACAAGTAAATAATGTGGTGTGTTAGAAGTTGATAAGTATTATGGGAAAAGGAAAAAGTAGAGCGGCGTGAGGAGGTTTATCGTGCTGGGGTAAGGAAGGGTAGGCCTCTGTGTTAGAGTGGTCAAGGTTACTCACTGACCATGTGAGGGAAGTTGGTCAAATAGATCTGGGGGGAGAGCATTCCAGGCGGAGGGAATGAAAGCTGAAGTAGTACTGGCAAGTTTGGGGAACAGCAAAGAGGCCGGTGTGGCCGGAGTAGAATGAGGGAGAGGGGAGTAGGAAGAGTTGCTGAGAGAAGTAACGCCGGCCTGGATTACCTGTGGCTTTTCTCAGAGTGAAATGGAGACCATTGCTGACCAGAGGAGTGATACGAAATGACGACTATTTTAAACGGTTCACTCAGGACACTGGGTGAGAACAGATGGAGGAGGTCGAAGGTGGATGGAGGGACACCTGTCCATGAGGTGCTGCAGTTAATCAGCTGAGAAGTGATGATCGTGACTTGGACCCGAGGGGCAGTAGAGGCAGTGAGAGGTGGTAGTCATCTGGATATGTTTTGAAGTAGAGCCAGTTGGGATTTCCTGATCGGTTAGAAGAGAGTTTTGAGAGAAAGAGGAGTCCAGGGTGATTCTAAGGTCAAACAGGTTGGTCTTTGTCTTGTTTTTTATTTTGTTTTTTGAGTAAGGAGGAGGGTCAGGAGTCTAGTTTTAGACATGTGAATTTTGAGATGGCTATTACATACCCAACCAGAGATGTCAAATAGGCAATCGGATATTTAAGTCTAGACTTTGAAAGAGAAGTCTGGACTGGGAATGTATATTGGCAAGTTCCTAGCATATAGATGGTAATTCAAACCATGGATTGGACTGAGGTCACGAGGAGAGAGAGTGTAGTAGAGAACTTCTTGAGTGAATTGCAATGTATTTTACCTTATTTACTCAGTAGGCCTATAAAGTTAAATACTCCCTCCTCTCAAAGAACCCATGGTTTGCATTTGACTACATGTTTTCACAAGTCCGAGAGATGCCATTCCCAGAGTACAATGTCTGCAGGTGAATATTTAATGGCCGGCAGGGCTGAGGGAGCCTGTGGAGAAGCAAACAGTTATATATTTCTGTTTGTTACTAACCATAGTATGGTATGATAAATGCTATTCTTGATGTATGTAATGGAATTGTCATGTAATATAATAGGTAATGTAAAACGTAATATATAATTGGTATATGTAATGGAATTATAGAGAAAGGAACGGTGAATTGACTTAGTGATAAGAAGGCAGAATAAATTTAGAATACTCTGTTCTCAAATAATGTATCTTAGAACACATTATGTATAGTAACATTATGTATAGTTAAAATCAGAATTAAGACCTTAACTGAAGGATCGCTCAACATTGTCCTTTAATAATCTATGTTCAAGTCTACTTTTGGTCACCCAATTTGTCTTCCACATTCCCCCATCCTATTACTAAAAAGGTTTCTAAAGCCCATTGCCTCACTGTTCATGGGTGAAGGCAGAGGTGGACGGGAAGGAAGGCATGGGAATGACAATAGCATTCTAGGTTTCAATACTTAGGGTTCCATCAGGAGTTAGCAGGGGTGGAGTATGTCCCAGAGTCAGTCAGTCCACCAGCATGGTAGTGCTCTCTCCATTGTGTCTTTTCTGTGGCCCCGGTTGTAAAGGGATGGGTAAAAAATGGGTCTTTTGCTTTATGTTGTAAGCATTTTACGTCTCCAAAATGAAAAAAACCATCCCATCCTTTCTGGGAAGTGATGCGTTTAATATGATTTTCTATTCCCAGCCCTAAGGAAAAAGGATATTGTTGAGTTATGAGATATCTACCAGTGGTCATTGGCAAAGTAGATGAAAATTGTAGAAACTGTCTCCTGGTGAGAAACATACATATATGTATATATGTGTATATATATATATATATACATAAATTTAAAAAGTTTTAAATGGTCTTTACCTCATAGAAATCAGCCTTGTGACCTAGGACAAGTAATTTTAAATATAAAGCACACCCAAGCCACAGATGAATTAAAATTTTACTTAAAATTTTTAAAATATTTGTCTATATTTTCTGCCATTCTTTTATGAGAACCGTGACATAGTTCCTTAAATATGGCTGACAGTTGGGATGAAAAGAAACAGTCATGCAAGACTAGAATTGATGCGGAATATAAACGGTAACATTTCGCACTGTATATAGCAACACGAAATCACTGGGCCTGAAACCCAGTTGTATGCATATTGCTATTCTCTGCTCAGTGTTTTCCCTTTACATGTAATGCCGTTCTCAGTGTGTCACTTCTGTGCCCACCTTTGAAATCCTTCAGCCTTCCAGGAGCCCTTGATACTGCATCAGGCTGTGTCCCCAGGACCCAGCACAATACCCTGCACACACACAGCTCTCAGGAATCATTTATCAATCTGTTAGGTGCTGATTGCTTGGCTGCCTTCTCACATTTACATTGCAGCTGAGCATCTAGATACGTGATTAACAATATTGCAATTCTGTATTCAAGTACTTCCTGTGCTTTATTTCATATAACTTTACCAATATTTCTCTGTCCTTACTTGCTTATTTGTATAATGCTCAAACTAATGAAATAAATGTGGAATCAATAGCTGCCAGTTCAGTTTATCTTGAGATTTAGCTGACGTAATGCCATGTTCAGTAACCCTGATCAGCATGAATTTATTTATTCAACGAATTTTGTTGAGCTTACTGAGCACCAGCCATTGTGCAAAGTGTTGGGGATGCAAAGGTGAACGAGGTAGGTGGAGTCTCAGTCCTCACGGAGCTTTTAGACAAGAAAACAGACAGTTGCAGTGCCGTGTAATAATACAAGTTCAGGGTACTGTGGGAACCCGTATCGGTTAGAATTAGGTTCAGGTACAAGTGGCAGAAAACCCAAATAGCAGTAGTTTAAAGGAAACAGAAGTTTTTCTCCCACATGAATGTCTGGAGGTAGACAGACCAGAACTCCATGATGTCAGGAACGACATCTGTCTTGTTGCTGTGCTATGTGTGGCCTCCATGCCCAGAGTCACCTCGTTGTCCCAGATGGCTGCTCCAGCCCTAGTCCACAATCCACCAGCAGGAAGGAGAAAAATGGAGGAGAGGTGCAGGCTCCCTACCTTTAAAAGACTTCCCAGAAGTTGCTCAAACCACTTTTACTTACATCCCATCGGCCAGAACTTGGTCACATGGTAATGCCTAGCAGCAAGGGAGGCTGAGAAAGGCAATGTTTATTCTGGGAAGCCAGGAAGAAGAGGGGCTGAATATTAGGGGACAACTAACAGTCTCTGCCCCAGGATTTCTGGGGAAATGGTTGCTCAAATTCAGATGTGAAGGTAAGTAGGATTCTCAGGAGAAGTGTATGTGTGTGTGTGTGTGTCCTCACAGGAGGACAACATTCCAGAGAAAAGGAAAAGCTCAGGGAATTGAACACGGAGACGAAACTGTTCTTTCACCAATCATGATTAATCTTTGCATGATAGTGTTTGTACTTTTCTTAGGAAAAGGGGTGTGGCTCAGATTGTATCAGAGGATGGGGATGGGGTTGATGTTCAGTGCACTTGTATGGTTAAACGAGGCAAGAGACCTTCTCAGAAAAGAGGGAGGCTGGGAGAAGGTTTGCGACAGGGTGGTGGTAATCCTTTCCCAGCAAAGTTGGCTCCGGTGAAGGCATGTACTTGAGCCAGTTCAAAGAAGGGAGCCTTCAGGGGGTATCTCAAGGTGTAGGTTCAGAGGCTAGCCCGTGCCTTTCTGTGCCATGATAGTGTCACATTAGCAGTTTCATTTGAATCTCACAGAAATAGTCATGCTCACTGAAGGGGCATGAATCTAGGAACAATGAAAACATTTACAATATGATAAGTTCACAGTATCAATCTGCTTTGGGCTTTTTTAGTTTTCATAAGGTCCAGCCTTATAAAATTTGTCTTTTGTCTGATTTAAACAAGTCTAATAGCAATTCTTGCTTGCTTGTTATTGTGATAAACAATAGCCTCAAATGAAAATAGCAAATGGAACATTTTGAACTTCCTAATATATAACATTTTTTGGGGGGGAAATGTACTTTTTTAATATGTTTTTCTAATTATTTTCATACTGTATTTGGTTAAGTTTTGATTCTTCTTTTGTCCACAAAATGAATGGAAGAGACAAATAGTCCAACCCATTTAAAAATAAGCATATCTTGAAGACATTTTATCTCTAAAGTGTCTATTGTTCTGGTTTTAAGATCAAAGACCAAATTTAAATTTAAAAACAGCCAGAAAGAGTTTATTAGAAAAGCACTAGTTCAATCTATAATTATTTAGGTTATCATGAATGTTTTTTTCATATTCCTTCTCAAATATAAAGTTTTAACTTTTTTTTTTGAGGAAAATGGTTCTATAGTTGATGGTTGGCAATATAATTTTTGTATAATGCATGGGTAGAGGAGATTAAACCACTTCATTTTGTGTTCATCTGTGGCTCATGAGTTTAATAAATGCCAAGATGGAGAGAGCACAACTTCTCGGTCTTATTTGTCTTGAGATTAATGTGTCTTGAGTTGGCAATTAGGATGAATTATTAAATGGGCTCTGATATTTCAAAGTCATCTTCTTTCCTATCTCAGACTTTCAATTTTATGAGAAAAGAGAAATTATTAAAATCTGGGTCAGGCCTGCCCCGTGGCTTAGCAGTTAAGTGCGTGCGCTCCGCTACCAGCGGTCCGGGTTCGCATTCCAGGCGTGCACCGACGCACCACTTGTCCGGCCATGCTGAGGCGGCATCCCACATACAGCAACTAGAAGGATGTGCAACTATGACATACAAGTATCTACGGGGGCTTTGGGGAGAAAAAAGGGCAAAAAAAAAAAGGAAGAGGATTGGCAATAGATGTTAGCTCAGAGCTGATCTTCCTCACAAAAAATAAATAAATAAATGAAATCTGTGTCTTCTAACCCATTATTTAAATTGTGACTTCATTCTAGGTAATAGAATTGCCAAAAAGTAGACGGTACAGTTCAGTTTCTTGAGGTCACGTCTAGGCCTATGGCGACGTGATTCATCTGATTCTACTTTTATGGTTATCTCCATAAATAATAATCAGAGTCTCACAGTCCTTAATGATCCAGTAGAGGTCAACAAGCGGCTCAGGGTGTTCCCACCCTGGGTGAATCTAGATTTAACTCTGAACTCTGATCTAAAATCAAAATCTGCACATCATTTCCAGCATATCTATTATCTCTGCTTATGTGTATTTTATCGCTAACTTGAATTCTACAAAATTGCTTGTTTTGATTAAAAACAACGATGAATGAATAATCAAGATATCTGGACCAAACACATTACATTTGACTAAGTCACATTTCCTATCGGCCAAGTCACAATTTGGTAGGTAGTTTCGTAGATGGGCATTGACTCCTTCCTTCAGACTTGGGACACCATGTCGTCTATGCTGTGACGAGAAACGGTGCTTTTACTGGTAATCAAAGGGGAGGGGATTGGAGCATCAGTGCTCATGTATTTGCATGTGCATAAATGTGATTTGGAGCAGTGGGAGGATAATGGACAGATGATTAGATTGTTGGGAGAACACAATAACAAGGTTAATATCACTCTTCTGCTTAAAATTTCTCAAAATGTCTTCAATGAACATGGAATACATTAGTAATACGAAAAAACAACCAAGGAGCTATTTTTGAAGATATCGTTCACTGGTTCTTCGTGGCCTATGAGATGAAGTGCAAGTGCTTGAGCATGAACTTGACCCTGACCTATGCACTTCCAGCCTCATCTCTTGCCATGTCCTGCCTCGCACCCTCGGCTACTACAATGCTCAACTGCTCCTTTCCTCTTTCTTTCTTTTTCTGTGCAGCGTCTTTCCTCCATGCTTTATGCTCATGTCATCTGTCTTCTTTCTGCCTCGAATCCCTTTCCCACCCTCATCCAACCCCAGGCTGGATCAGGGACCTCTGTCTGCTGTGCTCCCATAAACTCTGAGGACTGCACCTCCTCCCATGCATTGCTGTTTGTTTTTGTGTGTCTGTTCCCCTCACTAGACTCCATCCTCAAGGCCAGATGCCTAAAAGATAAGCAGTGTAAGCTTGTTGAATAAAATGAATGTTTCAGTGCATAGTAGAGGTTAGAAAGTAATTTTAAGTAACCAGAAAACTGTAATGATCTGATCTAGTATCTACATACTACCGGAAATACCCATTAGCACAAAGGAAATTAGATCAATTTTGCAAATAGGCAAATAGGTATATATAAATGTGAACAGAGTCTCCAAGTTCTGCTATTAGTTTTAATAAGCTGTTGGGATTGTTGGTTCTTTTGGTGAACTTTTTTTTTTTTTTTTTTTGGTGAGGAAGATTAGCCCTAAGCTAACACCTGTTGCCAATCCTCCTCTTTTTGCTGAGGAAGATTGGCCCTGGGCTAACATCCATGCCCATCTTCCTCTGCTTTGTATGTGGGACGCCTGCCACAGCATGGCTTGATAAGTGGTGCATAGGTCCACGGCCAGGATCTGAACCTGTGAAACCCAGGCCACTGAAGCAGAGCGCGTGAACTTAACCACGACGCCACCATGCCAGCCCCATGGTAAACTTTTTAAGAGAGGTACCAACTAGTGCTATTTGGTGTTTAATATTTTGCTTCTTTTCTAATGCAAGTCAGTGGGAAAAACTTTGCATACTTGCTTTGGTAAACTGATTTTCAGTGTCTTATTCCTTTATGCTCATGAGATGCACAGACATGCACTTAATAGACGCCTGCTGCAGTGCTTGATAAGAATGTTATTTTGTGAGTCTGAATTTCCAGGATAAATCTTATTCATAGGATTAGGGCTTTATCTTCTTCTAGCTACTATAATAAAGCTTAAGTTAGAATAAGTAAAAAAATGTATATAAGAATCAGATTCAAGGGGCTGGCCCTGTGGCGTGGCGGTTAAGTGTGCACACTCTGCTGCTGGCAGCCCAGGTTCTGATCCTGGGCGTCAGGCCACGCTGTGGCAGCGTCCCATATGAAGTGGAGGAAGATGGGCACAGATGTTAGCCCAGGGCCAGTCTTCCTCAGCAAAAAGAGGAGGATTGG